TCAATCAGCCTTTGCTTGAAGACCTCCTCTAAGGAGAGCCCACTAGCCCCTCTCAACTCAGCAGAACCCATTTCTCTTTTGAATGACCTCATTGTTAGGACATTTCTTCCTCCCGGAAATGAAATCTAAATGAATCCCCTTGCAGCTCCCACCCATATTTGTCCTAGTTTTGCCCCACAGGGACAAATAGAACAAAACAAATCCTTCCTTCACATGAGAGCATTTCAGATACTTGAAGACAGCTATCATATCCCCACTGAGTTTTCTCTTCTCCAAGGTAAACATCTCCAGTTGTTTTAACTCCAAATCTAGTGCACCACACAGGTATTTTTTTATGCCTACATCATTTGTATATGCGATTGTGCTTCACCCTACCCATTCCCTTCCTGTGACACTTAATTCCCCAATTCCTAAAATGGAAATAAAATTCCAAATTAGGACAATTCCTCTGCTTATCAGCATGGAAGCTTTGACCTGCTTTATTTCTGACCTGGTTCAGTTTGTCCCTCCTTAGGCAGCACAGGGGTCTCCTGCTTTCAGGGGCTTACCACACTACTACCAGACGTAGTATGGCCACCCAATTTGCATTAGCTTCACTGCAACTCAGAACTCCTGAGCCCAAGCAATCCACAAGTTTCAGCCTCCCTGGTAGCATGTATTATAGGCATGTCTCTGGCAAGTGAAGTCAATAATAATGGCTTAATTATTGAACACTGGAAATTTGTGAATACATATACACTGAATTATCTAGGAACAAAAAATAAAAGATCTCTTTATACATTATTATAAAAGCACATGAGATCATAGGATATAAATTTAGAGCTGGAAGGGAATTAAGAGGTTACAATTCCAAACTCCTCCTTTATGGATGAGGAAACTGAGACAGAGGTTAAGTGACTCATCCAGGGTCATATAGCTAGTAAATGTCTCAGGCAGTATTTGAACCCAGATTTCCCTGACTCCAAAGTCAATGCTCCATCCAATATACTACTTTTTTCCATATAACGAACAACCCTGGAATCTTCATATAATTTTGCTCCTGATGGCATCCCAGAAATAGTTATGAGGTACATTGAAATATGAAAGGAGCAGATCACCTCATTTTTCTAACAGTGTTGCTGACTAAGCTGTGTATCAGGAACAGGTAAACCAATAATCGCTTCAGTGGGTTGGTATATTATTGATTAGTAGCTTAGTGAGCCAAAGACAAGGAATTCAGAAAGAATCGTCTTCCTTCCACAGATACAATAAAAGAAGGTAGTCTTAGGGAGTGATCCGAGGGCATAAAGTATGTGTAGCTGCTCAGGAGAGGTAAGAGCAATGCTGGATATTAGTGGATGCAGATTACTCTCAGACTACTGTTAGGGTCTCCCTCACCACTAAGCTAAGTAAGTAACTAAGATGAGGGAGAAGTTATAGCTGAGGTCTAATTACTCACAAATGGAGATCATTTCATCTGACCACCCACCCACCCCCATTTTACAAATGAAGAACCATGGAAGCACAGCAGAGCAAAGTTATTTGCCTGATGTTACACAAATAGTAAGGTACTCAGTTAAGATTTGAGCTTAGGTCTTCTCACTTCAAATTCAGTACTCTCTGCAGCACACAATTTCACCTTCTAAGAGAAGTTATCTTTTATTGCCCTATGTCCAGAAGTGTGCTGTTAAATGTTAAACAACCAGGTTTTTCAGGAGGAAGAAATACACACACACATACACACACAATACATACATACATACATACATATACATACATACACATATACTGTATATAGATACACACACATTTTTATGGTTAATCCATATTTTTACACTTTCTTAAGTATAGACAACCAACCAAACAATAAACTAAACCTTGATTTATATCAATTACCAATTTCCAAGGTATAAATGCTCACACTGAAAATTTAACAATGGTCTTTCAAGCAATACAGCTGCCTCTAGCATGCCCCTACTTGTATCACAAGACCAACATATCTTTGACCCTTCAATAGTGTGTCACCTTGAATTTCTAGTTGTCATTTGTTTTGTGTTTTTTGTAGGGTTTTTTTGGTGAGGTAATTGGGGTTAAGTGACTTGCCCAGAGTCACACAGCTAGTGAGTGTTATATCTGAGGCCAGATTTGAACTCAGGTCCTCCTGACTCCAGGGTCAGTGCTCTATCCACTGCACTGTTTTGTATTCTTTTAAAGATTTCTTGATGTGGTAGAATTCTATTGGTGCATATTTATGAATTATCTCTATTTAATAAATGTTTACTCACATGACTTTTCATATATTAAGCCAGGCAGGGCTTTATGGTGTGTAGTGTGAGGCCTTCACAATGATAATTTAAAAAAAAAAACACTGGGTCTGGAGCAAAAAAAAAATCTGTTTTTTAATACTGGCTCTGTTACTTCCTCACTAGTTACCTCTGTGACCAGGACCAAGTCATATCATAGCTCTGGGCTCCAATTTTTATACCTGTGAATCAAGGGGCTAGGACAGATGTTCTCAAAGGCCCTTCCTGCTCTCCATTTGCTCCTGTAATCTTGTTCTCTTTTTTATTTTTTGGCAAGGCAATTGGGGTTAATTGACTTACCCAGAGTCACTGCTCCTGTAATCTTAGGAACACTTTCAGGGACTTGAGGTACTCTTTACTAATTAAGATGTCAGTGTGCCAAGTAGAAAGCTAAGGAAACTGAAAAATCAATCCAGCTTCTAGACGAATCTAAAATCCACTTGTGGTCAGGAGACTGAGATTCTAGCCGTGGCTGTTACTTATTAGCTATGTGACTTTGGGTGAGTCACTTAACCTCAGTTTTTTGAAAAAGGAAAACAATAATCCCTTCCCTCCTAATTTTGTAGAGTGCTTGGGAGAACTAATGACAGCTGACATCCTTGTGGAACTGTCCAATTTACAAATGTGAGTCACAGAAGTACTTTAAAGTAAAGAGTGCAGGGAGCATTATCATGTCCATTTTACAGATGAGGTAACTGAAGCACAGAGAAGTTAAGTGATCTGGTCAAGACAGAACAGCTAATAAAATGGCAGGACCAGAATTCTGAGTTGAGTCTTCTGATTCCAAATCCATAACATTCCTGAGCTGCTATATATATGTATATATGTTCTGAAAAGTATTAAGTGCTAAATGTGTGTATATAGGTATATGCATACATGTGTAATTATATACTTATACACCAATTATATGTGCGCATATATATACATATACATATATATGTATACACTTACTGTCATTTCACAGTCACATACTCTACTCTAGCAAAGAATTCCCTATAGTAAGTATAATATACACATATCTATACAGTATATAGTGTATAATATGTATAGTATAGTATAGTCCCTCTTTTGTGGTCCTTGATTTTTCTGGCTTATTCAAATAGTCTAGCCTTTCTCCTGCTTTGGGAATCTCACAGACCAGGCCAACTTTTTTTTGTGGGGAAAAGCTATATTTATTTCCCCTGAAAAGTACAGCTAGAACATTGTGCAATGACCAACTTTGATAGACGTAGCTGTTCTCAGCAATGCAATGACCTAAGATAATTCCAAAAGACTCATGATGGAAAATGCTATCTACATCCAGAGAAAGAACTATGGAGTCTGAATGCAGATCAAAGCATACTATTTCCCCTTTTTTTATTTGTTTGTTTTTTCTTTCTTGGGGCTTTTCCCTTTTGTTCTGATTTTTCTTTCACAACATGAGTAATGTAGAAATATGCTTAATATGATTATACATTGAATATGTATATGTTCATTGAATATGAATATGTTCATGTCAGAGAGTTCATACATGTATAGCCTATATCAGATTGCATGCCATTTTGGGGAGAGGAGACGAGAGGGAGGGGGAGAAAATTTGGAACTCAAAATCTTATAAAAATGAATGTTGAAAACTAAAACTACATTAATTAATCAAAAAAAAAGAAAGAAAGAAAGAAAAAAAGGGCACAATGGTGGCACAATGGATAGAGTGCCAGACCTGGATTCAGTAAGACCTGAATTCAAATCTAGTCTCAGATATTTACTATCTGTGTGACCCTGGGCAAATCATTTAACCTTTTATGCCTCAGTTTCCTCATCTGGAAAAGGAAATGGCAAACCACTCCAGTAACTTTGCCAAGAAAACCCCAAACGGGGTCATGAAGAGTTGGACGTGACTGAACAACAAATAACCTCTAGTGTTCTGGAACCAGTTCAAATTGGCTCATGAGACCCAGTTATTAAATTTTCAGTGTAAGTATTTACATTTCAGAAATCAGCAAATGCTACAAACCAGGGCTTGATTTATTGTGATTTGTTGATTGTCTAGCCTTAGGAAAGTGAAGGGGAAAATGTTAATAATGCAGATTAAACTTAATATTGTATTATGAATACATTTTTCTTCCAGAGAGACCATTGTTAAGCAATTACCAGCACAATTTTATGTAACTATTTGATGGATTGATATGGCTATATAGGTAGTGATACCCATTGTAAGAATATACAAAGCTTTCTTTCTGTTTCTCTTTCTTTCTCCTTCTCCCTCCCTTCTTTCCTTCCTTCCTTCCTTCCTTCCTTCCTTCCTTCCTTCCTTCCTTCCTTCCTTCCTTCCTTCCTTCCTTCCTTCCTTCCTTCCTTCCTTCTTCTCTCTCTCTCTCTCTCTCTCTCTCTCTCTCTCTCTCTCTCTCTCTCTCTCTCTCTCTCTCTCTCTCTCTCTTTTTCTTTCCTGTTAACACAAGAAAAGCCCTTTTGGAGTCATAGATGGCAGGGAGAGGGAAGGAGAGTTCATGTCAGGGAGTTCAGGCAAAAACAATGAATCATTTCCTTGTCATCTTAAGTCTGAAATGTAACACGATAGCAGTAGAAAATAAAACAGCATGCATGTGAAATTCTAGAAGAACTGAAATTCTTTAGGAGACAAGTGATACCAGCTTGATAAGAACTGTTTACTAAGAAAGCAAAGTCCTGCCAATTCTTAATGACCCACACCCTGTCTTGCCCCATGGCAAAGAGCCTTACCTGACTTCTGATCTGCACACTGCTTGCTGGGGTCAAGTATTTATGCTCTAAGTACCATGCTCTCTCCTGGAACACCAACTTGGTTCCATACAAAAGACAAAACTATACGGGGGAAAGAAAAATATAATACATATTAATAAATCAAGAAATTTGAAGCACTTTTATAAGGAACCAGAAGGGATTTTTACAATAGGAAATTCTTAAAATACATGAAAGAAATCATATTTTCCTAAAAAATACTGGGCATAAAATGGACACTCACTATATATTAATGTACAACCATCACAAACTTATAATTGTCAAATATTTTTCTACCATCTTTATTTCTTCCCCAAAAATAGAATAACCAAAGACCATATACCAAACAATAAAACCAAATGTAATCTCTGTCAGACACACTCAGAATGGATCCTTATAAAAGACAGCACCCCACAATATAACTTATAGCATTTGTGTTTAAGGCAGCTTGATGAAGAACAGAAGTTCTCAGACTTTTTGGTCTCAAGACCCCTTTAAACTCTTAAAAATTATTGAATTTTCCCTCAAAAAGCTTTTGTTTATGTGGGTTATATCTATTGATATTTATATTGTTCAAGTTTAAAACAATATTATATTGAAAATAATAATGACCTCCAAGATCTCCTGAAATGGTCTCTGGGACCCCTAGTACTTGAACCACGTTCTAAAAACTATTGGTTTAATGTACAGAGAACTGTTCTTGAAACCAGAAAGGCCTCTCTTCAAGTCCTTCCTATGACATAGCCTGACTATATGAGCTTGGACTAATCACTTTACCTTCCAGTGCCCCACATAATTCACTAATATGAATTTCAGAGTAAGAGCTGATTGATGAGGGAATTTCCTTGCTGGGAGTTCTTTATACCAAAGAATTCACACGACCAGAAAAACATTTATATAATTATTTTAATGTGTTTTTTTTCCATATAAGATTCCTGAAACACCAAGGAGCAACTGATAATACATGGCAGCTTGATGAGATCTTTTGTAATGAAAAGCAGCTAATAAAAAGTCTTCAGGTTCAAAGAAGAATTAAGCTATGGTAAATGTTTTGTGTTCCCAAAGTTTTATTCAGGGCTACATGAACATGATCTTCACATCAGTTGCCTCAATATCTTCTACTGATCATTAGGCTCAAAAGTTAGACGTTTTACATGCATGCTGTAATGTAGTACCCTCCATCTTCTCTGGGAGAATGTAAGCTCTTTGAGGGCAGAGGCTGTTTTAGTTTTTAGGTTTTAGATTTAGAGCTGGAAGAGAGCTTGGAGGTCATCCAGTCCAGGCCCCTCATCTTATAGATGAGGAAATGGAGGCTCAGGGAGATTCAGCAATTTGCCCAAGGTTACACAGGTCGGGAGGGTGAGAGATGGAATCTGAATCTGTATCTGCTGAGTCTACAACTAGCTCTTTTGTCTTTGTACCCTCAGTGCTCACTACAGGGAGGAACTTAGTATCTTGTGACTTGAATTTTGAATTGGATTTTGTGGAAAGCTAAATTTCTGACGTATTGTTATCATTCTGAATAACATCAGACATCCAGAAACAGACTCAATTTGCTTTAGTGAGTAAGCCAACGAGGGAGGATTCCAACCCTAAATATGACCCCTCTGTGAATGTGCCAAACAAATGAAAAAAGTCACAATTGACCCTTCTAGAAGAAACATTCACTTGTGTTAGCCTGATCCACAGAGTGAGTAGTAGAAATAACTGATAAGAATTTGTGGAATGTACTATGCCCTGATAAAATATCACGTAAATGCTTAGTCAGCTCTGTGAACGTATTAGGCCTTGGGTGAACTCCATATTCCTTCGACACATTTTGGTTCTGCACCTGCTACATGCATAACATTATTCTAGGCACTGTGGGAAACACAAAGATGTAGTGGATCAACTGTCTCTAGAGATATGCTCGAAAGAAATAGGAAGAGGGAACTAAGAAAGAACTAGGCTGAGTTCCCCATAGACCCAGGGATTAATTAAAAAACATATATGAATGTGTATGCATGCATATATTTGAAAATGTGATATATGTGTGTATATAAATACACACATTTATGTACATATGTATTATATGTATATATTTATGTGTGTATTTGTATGTATATCTCTTTCCCCTGTCATTTGTTTTGGTAATCTTCTTATGTGTTTCCCTATAATGCTTTATAGTAACCCTTGTAAGAATTGCCTAAAAATGGTTGGCTCTTTATCTTTAGAAAACATGAGTAGAGAAAAGCTTATTCCTTTCCCTGAACGACCACCTGTAGAGTGGCAGTAGTAGCTGCTAGAAAACAGTAGGGGGCACCAGTGAGCCAAGTGCATGCTTGCTGGAAAAGAAAAGACCACTGCCTTGGAGTAGGTTGTAAAACACAGTAGTAGCAGTTCTCTAGACTGTGCTGTCACATGGATATTTTCTTGTTTCCAATTTTCTAAAGCCTTTCTGGGTACTTCATGATTTCTCAAAAAATTACCTATTGTGATTCTGTATTGATAGCCACAATTTATTTCAGTACCATGTAATCAATTCACCTTAACCTGAAATACCTGACTTACTTGAAAGTGGTCAGGTTCTCTTTTATTATCTCCTTCCTTATATTAGGTATCAATTCCTTCTTAGGAATTTTTTCCTACTCTTTCTAATTTGTATATCATTTTCCTTGATGAAAAAGGACACAAACTAAGATTTGAGTTGTTCTGCCTTCTCTCTGTTTTTTATAAAAATTATCCCATCTTTCCTAAGCAATGATGCAGCTTTAAAAAAAAAAAGGCTTTTGTGTTAAAAAAAAAAATAAAACTTAGCTCATTCAAGCCTTTTAACTTCCTGACACTGTTTTTGGAAGTTTCAACCACTTTTAAAGTTCATTCTTAGTTGTATGCTCTTTTTTCCATTATACATACATATATATATACACACATTATGTGTGTATGTGTATGTGTGTGTGTGTGTTTGTGTATGACTTTAAAGCTGAGCACATCAGGAAGCACATTGCCTTCATTAGATGCTTTTCTCATCAGGATTACTCACAATTATGAAGTCAGAATTAATTTATTTTATTATGGTTGCTCATCTCTTTTTAGCCATATTTCTATCATATCTATCTTAAAAAAAAAGAAGAAATGGATTTCTTAAAGTATAGGGTAATAGTTAGCTATGGCCTGGGTTTCTTTTCATTATTATTATGAATTCCAATACTTGAGGACAACAAGCACCCTTAATCAAGTATCATGGTCAGTAATATACTTCCAAGCAATATCACTTTGGCTTCTCCTTTTATCTCTACCCAAATGTTGCTCATTATGCTGTTACCCTTATATTAAGAAGTTTCTATACAAATTTATACTTTCTTAACACATGATGCTACTTCCCTAAAAATACTCTGGGGGAGGCAGTGCTACACTGTAGTGGTAGGTATAGCTATTGGGTGAGAAAAGTACGATGACCAATATTTAGGGCTGGGTGCAGTTAGCTGATAGGAATCAACAGTTTTAGCACTGCTATTCCTTAGGATCATAAATTTAAGGTTAGAAGGGGCTTTATAGACTCTCTGTTCCAACCCTCTCATTTTATAGATAAGGAAACTAAAACACAGAGAGGGAGGGTGATTTGCTCAGGGTCACATATCTGGTAAACATCTGGTATAAACTCAGATCTTCTTGACCTGAAGGCAAGTACTCTACCCACTATGTCACCGAGCTGCCTAGACTGGACTTCATACTACAGAGGAAGAGCTGTGGAGGATGCAAGGAGAAAAACAAAGTATAAAGTGGTAACTTCATGGCCGGGGAATTCTGCTTTAGTAGTCCAAAGATCCCCAGAAGAGTACTCTACTATATATGTATTCTTGTACAAGCTCTATCCCCTTCTCCCCTCCCTCCAGTCCCAATCTCTCTCTCTCTCTCTCTCTCTCTCTCTCTCTCTCTCTCTCTCTCTCTCACACACACACACACACACACACACACACACACAGGAAAAGAAACCCAGCTAATATGTCTGCAACCACAATCACATGTTCAGACTAATGATGGTACCTTAGAGATCACTCAGTCCATCCAGAAAACTGAGGCCCAGGGATATTAACTTACTCATCCACAGTTACCTAGGTTATAATGTGTCAGACCTAGAATTCAAGCCCAGGTCTTTTACCTCCAAATCCAGAACTCTTACAACTACCATGTTACTACATGCCTGAGCTGACATTTCTGCCTGGCCATCTGTAATTCTCCTAATCCCTCTTCACATTCCCTCCCCGCTTCTGGCATGTCTGTGTCAGAGGCCAGGGGACCCTGACACACCCCTTTTACTAGATCAGTTTCCTTTCAACAGAATGCATATCCTTCCATTGCTACATTCCCATCAAGGCTCTTGTCCCACCAAGCTTCAGTGATACCTAGGTAATTGTCTTTCCATCCATTGTAGCGGAGAGCCGCAGGACACATGGGAATAAGCCTGCTGGGACCAAAACCAGCATGAAGGAGGTTGCCTGCTGCTCTATACAGCCAGTGGGCTGTGTTTCTCCATGACCCTGAGCTACATAATAAAGAAAGAGATGTTGCAAAAGGACTAAAAGTTAGGCCTCCAGTGTCAGATAAGATGAACACAGCTTATTAATGCCTAGTAATAACAGCATGATCAGAGGATCTTTCCCCCCCAGCAACAACCCAATTCTCTCATTGTGATGAACTACTCTGCCTTTCAGCCTCAGAGTTCAGCCTCTTGGGAGTAGCATTATTGCCTTGCAAAATTGATGGAATGGCGTTATCCCTTAGATTAAGGTATTTCTGTCACCATTAGCAAATTATATTTGCTTTACAATTTTAAAGAAAATGAAACAAAGAAAGAAAGGAAAGAAAGGAAGAAATGAAGAAAGGAAAGAAAGGAAGAAAGGAAGAAAGGAAGAAAAGAAAGAAAGAAAGAAAGAAAGAAAGAAAGAAAGAAAGAAAGAAAGAAAGAAAGAAAGAAAGGAAGAAAGAAAGAAAGAAAGAAGAAAAGAAGAAAAGGAAGGAAGGAAGGAAGGAAGGAAGGAAGGAAGGAAGGAAGGAAGGAAGGAAGGAAGGAAGGAAGGAAGGAAGGTTAAGAAGGAAGAAAG